GGTTTAATTTTTGGTAATTTTAATTTTAACATAAAAAGTCAGTTTTTAATGTTAGCTCATAGAATTCCATAGTATCCCCACATCTTGCTAATAAAGAGGTACTATTTGAAAAGTGAAGGTTTTTGCTCTGTTTTTTATATATTACATATTGGGTATTAGCTTTTAGTACCTTTTCGTTTGTGTTAATTTTTCATCTATATTGTTCACACATTTTTAAATTAAATTGTTGAGTCCAAAGCTGTTATTTTTAAATTGTTGAACCACATGAAATTGACATTTTTGTCAAAAATCAAATATCAGCAATTTCATCTGGTTCAACCTAATAAGTCTTTGAGGACCTATAGGTACACTTTCCTGTGGAAAACTGGCTTGATTATTTGTTTGAGGGAAATAAAGTGGTTTCTTTGGAAATTTTGTATGTTTTAGAGTCTTAGGTTCATGCAACATGATTTGTACTTTCATTGTCTCATCTGGATATATAATTTTCTGCAATTAAAAAAAGTTAGATTGGGTCTACAATAAAAAACAAACAAACAAAACTAGGCATTTCCCAGTAAGATGATAGTATAAGAGTTCCCACACAGTTTCCTGCCAATCCCCCAACAGAAACTGATTGAAATGATTAAAGAAAAGCAAAAACAAGAATTGTGTTACTAATGTTGAGAACAGAGAATTGTCAAACACGTGATCACTAATTTGAAGGAATTTTTTTTGTCTGTTATGCTAAAGTTTGAACTTCTGGGATGACCTATCACTCTCCTCAAGGGAGCAGTGTAATACTATGGGAAATATAGGTAGAGAAAATTCTAGAAGTCACTAGTGAGCCTGTGTTTGGGTAGATGACGGAGGATGGACTGCACTCCTAGGAGGGCTGTAGGGAGATTATATGTAACTCTTTTCTGTTGAGCGGAGCCAACAGCGTTCTGTGGTATTCCTAGCAGGTCTAGCTGAGGGCTTTACCACACATACTCTTTTTCATTGACATGGCTTTCTAGATGGGAGTATGGACTTGCTCTGATGTCATGGAGAGAACCCTTTTAATATGGAAGGATGGAGTTAGAAACCAGGGATGGCTGTGAGAGATGGGAAATGACCCATTTGGAGCCCTTTCATAGCTGTGGGCCTTGGGCTAACAGCAACACTAGCATCTGGGCTGAAAGAAAATACTTAGGACTTTATCTAGCACTCTGTGGGCCCAAGGGATCTTTTCAGAAGCCTGGCCAGGTCACCTCAAAGCAGGGCAGTGTTTTGGAATTAGGGGTGGGGACATTTCTCTGCTAGTACTAGTTGCTCTCCCTACTTGGTGAAACTGGCCTCTGGGAAGTGGCTTCAAAAAGTACCAAGAAAATGCACAGAAGGACAGAGACTGCCCTCATGTCCATTCCTGCCTTCCCAATCAAGAACTGCTAAAAGACCTAACCTGTATACCATCCAGTCTTCCAGCTTACTTTTTTTTTTTTTAAGATTTTATTTATTTGAGAGAGAGAATGAGAGACAGAGAGCACGAGAGGGAAGAGGGTCAGAGGGAGAAGCAGACTCCCCACTGAGCAGGGAGCCTGATGTGGGACTCGATCCTGGGACTCCAGGATCATGACCTGAGCCGAAGGCAGTCGCTTAACCAACTGAGCCACCCACGCGCCCTCCAGCTTACTTTTTAAAAACTTATTTTTTAAAAAAAGTTTCAAATGAAGAAGAGTTACAAGGGCAGTACAAAATGACTTTTTGATACATTTCTCCTGTTGTGACTGTTTTGCCTCCATAAACTTTCTATTTGTAGATAATTTGTTTCTTTTCAGAACTATTTGGGTATAAATTACAGAAATCATGCCTTTTTACCCCTGACTAATTTAATGTTTATTTCCTAGGAACAAGGAACTCTGCTAAAGTACTTAAGTATGAGTATCAAATTTAGGAAATTTAACATTGGCATAATATCTAGTCTGTAGCCTATATTCTGTTATTTTTTTTCCCCAGTAATGTTCTCTGTAGCGTTGAGTTTTTCTGGTCCAGGTTTCAGCCCAGGACCATGCTTTGCATTGAATTGTCATGGCTCCTTCAGTCTCTTTATCTGTGGCAGTTCCTCACAAGCCTTTGTCTTCAATGACCTTGACATTTTTTTTACAGTACAAGCTCTTTGTTTTGTACCTTGTCTCTCAGTTTGGATGCGTCCGATGTTTCCTTGAGATTAGATTTAGATTATGCATTTTTGGCAGGAATGCCACACAAATGAGACATGTCCTCTGTGCCTCACATCAGGAGGCATGTCGTGTCTGTTTTCTGGTTGCTGATGTGAACTTGATCACTTAAGGAAGATACCTGCCAGGTTTCTCCATGGTACAATTAGCATATTTTTTTCCTTTGTAAGTTAGTGAGTACTTTGTAGGGAGATACTCTGAAGTGACATACACACCCTGTTCCTCAGCACACTTTGACCTGCTAGTCTTAACATCCATTTTTGATTCTTGCCTGAATCAGTTATTGCTGAGATAGCTGCAAAATGGTGATTTCTTCCCAACATTCATCATTCCTCCTACGTTTATTATTTGGCACTCTGCTATAAGAAACCCATCACCTTCATCTGTTATTATCAATATTTATTTTGTACTTAAATGTGTCCCTAATTTGGTTGGGAGCCACTTAGGTACCTTTGCTGTGCCCTTTCGACAAGTCCTATGGTTTTTGTTTTTGTTTGTTTTTTTTTTTAATAGCATTTTCTTACTTTACACCAGATTGTTTGAGGTTCATCTTAAACTTATTCTCCAGAGAGTTCTAAATCTCTTTTGGGGGGATGGTGTCAAGAAACCACAATCTCAGCACTGTGTGAGTATTCAGGAGAGGATTTTAACTTGCTCACATAAAGAGGGAAGAACTGCAGGGACCGTTCACTCGTGCTGATTTCGGATGCAGCCTGCTTGGTGTAATTGGCTCTTGTCCACACTGTTTTAATTTCTATAGCCTTCTAGTGTGTTCTGATCTCAGAGCAAGTTCCCCTTTATTATTTTTTTTCCGTTTTAAATACATTCTCTCCTCTAGGTGAATTTTAGAATCACATGTAAAAAGTCATATTCCAAAAAAGTTTCATTATTTTTTTTGAAAGGTATTGAATTGAATTTATTATTTAACTTAGGGTAGAATTTATCTTTTTTTTTTTTTACAAATTTGAGTCTTCTCACTTAGGATTAAGAGGTGACTTCATTTACTCTTAATATAGGGGTCAGTAAGGGGTGTGTAGTTTTAATCGCATGAATCTTGAGTATCTCTTGTTATAATTTTTATAGTTTTTGTTAGGCTATGCTTATTTATAGTTTTGTGTTTGTGAATAGTATCTTTTTGACATTTATTTAATGAGTTTATGCGTATGGACAAGTGCCTGAACTATGAATGCATAATAATGAATTTTATTGGACCACCACCCAGGTCCGTCATTAGGACCTTGCTGGCACCTCAGAGCTCCCTATATGCCTAACCTAATCACAGCCTGCTTTCTCCTTCCTTCCCTCCTACAGCCAGCAAGTGAAGGCAGAATACAGCTGCTTACATGGCTGTCCTTGTTCAATATAGGGAAGAATGACAGTTGAGCAGGACAGACTTTTTTTTTTCCCTGCCACAAAATTCTGAAGAGATGTTTACTGTGTGGGCTTTTGTGTAAGGGACAAGGAACAACATAAATGCCTGTTTTTAAGACTAGCTTTATGAAACATGCAGATTTATTTTTTGTAAGTCTGTTTCTTACTGAGTCTATCCTTGAATAATGCAGAGATAATAATATTAGATAAAAAGTAGTCTTTCTAAAGTGTGTTTTGTTTAGATGTCAGAATAGTAGCCTTGGATTATCCAGCTTGATACAGAAGTTGAAAACCATTGTTTGGGTTTCTCTTAGTTTAATGAGGTTGTGGAAATTACTCCTACTATTCCCATAGCCTCAGCTATCTTTCAGCATTGCTGATCGAGATTAATGAATGCTTTTTCTTCCACCGTCTCTTAGATTTTGATGTCAGGTTCTGTCCTTAGGCCTCTCCTCACTCTGCACTTTGTTTCTCTGAGCTGTCTGATACTGTGGTTTCAATGCCTACATTTATCCTCATAAAATTCACTTTTATTTCCTAGACCAGGATTTCCTGACCTGTGATTCTCTCAAATTAAAACAGATGTCTTTTAACTGGGGTCATCCACTTTTTTTTTTTTTTTTACATCTGCCTGATAGGGTTTTTAGGAATCAGGAATTTGGCCAAAGTCTGGCCTAGTGAAATCTTTGCAGAATAGGAAGTACAGAGGAAACGGCCTATGGAAATAAATAATTATGCTATAAGAGAGGTAATTTAATATTAGATATATTACCATCAGTTTCAATACTTCATCTCTCTGTCTTCTTAATACAGATAAGGTCTTTATAATTGTTTGAACCTTTTGAGAAATGATGTTAGTATTATGCTTGCAGTGTTAATTCTAAAAACTTTTTCCCTTTTCTCCCTATCTTTACATTTCTTAAGTGATAAGTAGAAAGTGCTTGCATTCTTACAGATATTAAGAGCAACAGATGAACATAAGGGAAGGGAAGGAAAAATAAGATAAAAACAGAGAGGGAGACAAACCATAAGAGACTCTTAACTATAGGAAGCAAACTGAGGGTTGCTGGAGGGGAGGTGCATGGGGGACTGGGTAACTGGGTGACAGGCATTAAGGAGGGCACGTGATGGAATGAGCACTGGGTGTAATATGCAACTGATGAATCACTAAATTCTACCCCTGAAACTAATAAAACACTATATGTTTTCTAACTTGAATTTAAATTAAAAGAAATTTAAAGAAAGTCTCAGGAAAAAAAAAAGTTAGTGGAGGCTTTGTTATATATAACTGGTTGGGACTCTTTTATTTTCAGTTCTGTATCAATACATAAGTGAATATCTTTTTCTGGAAAATGTGACTTTAAAATTTCTGATCTTACAGTTATGTTTTATGTTTTTTTAAAATATATTAAAAACTTTTGGTTTTACTTCTAGAAAAACTGATTGCTTATCAACGAGAGTTTCTTGCCTTGAAAGAACGTCTTCGAATAGCTGAACATAGAATCTCTCAGCGCTCTTCTGAATTAAACGCCATTGTACAACAGTTCAAGCGTGTAGGAGCAGAAGCAAATGGAAGTAAGGATGCATTAAATAAATTTTCAGGTACAAATGATATTTTTAGTTTAAAAATTGTATTTTCAAGGGGTTATGTGAAGTAATTTGTTTGAAAGTCGTTTAAAGTAGCTTATCAGCCAGCATTTATTACTGTTTTCAGAGAGAAACATCACACAAAACTTTCCTATAATGGTAAATTATAAAACAATTTTAATTAATTGTTACATTTGATTTTGAGGGAGTAGTGTAATACTGATTTAGATTTCAGTTGGATAAATTTCCCCAATAGCAAAAAGCCAGATCTTTTATTTATTTTTTATTATTATTATTTTTTATTTATTTGACAGAGAGTGAGAGAGGGAACACAAGCAGGGGGAGTGGGAGAGGGAGAAGCAGGCTCCCCGCCGAGCAGGGAGCCCCACACGGGACTTGATCCCAGGACCCTGGGATCATGACCTGAGCTGAAGGCAGACGCTTAACGACTGAGCCACCCAGGCGCCCTAAGCCAGGTCTTTTAAAAAGCATATTCCAAATGAGATTAAAAATTTAATTTTGTGTTTTTACATGTTTATGTTGTGACTTGTATGGACCTTAGATCGACTCTGGAGAACCTTTGAGCTATTTGAAGCAATTAGTACTCTTCTCTCTGACTTATAAGAAAAAAATATGGTTTTATTACAGTGTGTACTTTTGAGGGTATCTGGATCTGTTACTTCTCTAAGAACTTGGGGTTAGAGTAAGATGAATGTCAATTAGCCTCTCTGTTTCTGTGATTTTCTTAGTCTAATAACTAAATTAACATATGTATATAATCAGTTACCTCAAAATTTATGTAGTCTTTCAAGATTAATATACTTTTTCATTTAGCACCATCTTTTTCCATCCTTTATCATTCATTCCTCTTGTCTTAGATTCACTACCTGACCTTTTTTTAAGTTTTCACGCTCCGTGTTTCCCCTTCTGATTGTGAAATGTGTGTTATGACACAGTAACATTTAAAATTATGGAATGGTATAGATAATAAAAAATAAACCACCCATAAGCCTGCTCTGCCAAGTGTTTTTTATTAACATTTTTTATTTCCTTCTAGTCTTTTTTCCATTTATGTTTTTCTTCAAAATTGTGATTGTGTGTTAGAGCCCCAATTTTACTTTTGAAATTAGGCTATTAGCGTTTCACTGTGTCATTGAATATTCTTCAAAAATGCCATTTTCAATGGCCATATGTCAGCTAACCATATACCATAATGTATTAAATATTTTTCTACTATTAGGCAAATGGGATTTTTCTGTGTTGTTTTTTCTCCCCAGTTTATAACTCTGCGATGAACGTCTTCGTGTATAAATTGGTCACATTTCTGGTAGCCCTTATGTTACTTCGTTACATTATGACTTCCTTAAAAACAAGGATCTATGACTAACATTTCTAAACACATGACACAGTGGCTGGGACAAAATAGATAATCACTAAATATTTATTGAGTGTATAAAAGTGAAATTGCTAAAAGGGAAATTATTGACTAGTAAGGCAGACATGTTTTAGGGTTTTCACTGCTCTTCTGAATAGCTGAAACATATATCACATTATCACCAATATTTAATATTATTATTTAATCTTATGCTAAGTTGATAGGTTGAAATTGGTGTCTTGTAATTTATAATTGTTTCTTATGAAATTAAATGTCAATATAGCAGTCATTTGCATTTCTTTTGTGTATTTTTTGGTTCTTGTCATATTGTTAATGGAGTTTTCATATAGTTTTGCATGAAATCTTTGAGGCTTTAAGTCCTTACTGCTAACTTCTGTATTTTAAAGGTTAAATTATAATATAGTTGGAACTTTAAAACAATACTGCCTACTAGATTGAGTTCTTATTTCATATTATATTAAAGGATTCATTAACTCCTCTAAGGAAAATGGAAAAACTATTTGAAAGTTAGGATCTGTATGGAGCATTCTCAAATTGTACGGTTTAAATTATTGTACTTGTATTTTTTTGAAAAAAAAAAAAACTTCCATGTGAAAATTCAGTAAAATAGAATAGCATAAGGAAAGTGAAAGTTATTGGTGGTGAATGTGCTTATTATATTTTCATAAATGGGTAGCATGTTTAGAGTGTGTTCTGCAGGGCCTGAATTCTGAACCTTTATAACGGCAAGTGATGAAAGCATTCCGCCTTCTCAGGGTACTTCACCTTCTTCAGAGTGCTGTCAACACTGGGACTCTGAGACTCTGGTTGCAGAAGTGTCCTTTTTCATTTTAAATGGAGATCTTATTCACCAAAGTATGAAATCGGGAAAGTTCTAGTTCTCATAAATTTTTACTGCTATATTTGTAAAATTAGCAACTTCTGTAAGTAAGGCGCTCCTGTGCATTAATTATGCTTTTCTGTTTTAGATAATACCCTAAAGCTATTAAAGGAGTTAACAAGCAAAAAATCTCTTCAAGTGCCAAGTATTTATTATCATTTGCCTCATTTATTGCAAAATGAAAGAAGCCTTCAGCCTGCTCTGCAGATTGGTAATGGAAGAACAGGAGGTATGTTTATTTTGTTTCTTACTGTGGTTGTCCTGCTGGTCTTAATTGGATCTTGGAGTATAACATTGACCATTAGAAGCCTGGCAGGTCAAAGAAGAAAAATTCCTTCTCTCTGCATAATAACTTAGGACTCATTTACGTTGAAAGGAGCTATCTATTTTTCTCCATAGATCAGAGTATAGAGCTGAAAAGGGTCATGAGAAATCTGGTGTAAGCCCCATCTCCGGGCAGAAAAATGTTTAAACCTTTTTTCTGTTTTAAAAATTTGAGATGACTTTTTTTCTTGTCTATTCTTTCAACATTAATAGTTCTCACAGTCTCATCAAGAGAGGTTTTCTTATGTTTGCCCCTGCTTTTTCTTAGAGAGCTGGAAGGCATGTAATCACTTTCATTTAACCTTTCAGGCAATAATAGAAATACTTTGGGTTGCTTTTTTTCCCTCATATAGTGAAAAGATAGTTTATCGCATTTTTTTTTTCCTTCTGTTAGAACTGCCAGAGCTTGAATTTTCCTTGTGGGCCCTACTTACTGTTCTTTCATGATTTTTATTCCTCTATTTTGACTTTGTTAATCTTTTCTTTGGAGATTTAAAAATGTAGATAGCAAAATATGATTTTGCTCCCCTAGTGAGTCTTTTGTCTTTTGTTAAAACCATTACTTGGTAGATACTGAAATTCATCTTTGTGATAATGTTTATGAAAAGACTGATTTAATCTACTTTTGATTCAGTAGGATTGTTAGGTATTTTGCTTTGTGTGTTGCATTTTCTCATATTATTTGATCTATTAGCATAAGCTTTTATATTTGTCTTTTTTTAGTTCTGCCGTTTTTCTACTTTATGAATCATTTAAAATTGCACACTGCCTTCCTAAGGAAGTGATAATTCTTAAAATATCATGTTCAGACTAACTCATTCTTCCATTTCCTTATTGATTCAATAAATATTTATCCAGTAGGTGCTGGATGTACAAAGACTAACAAGATGTGTGGTGTACTCTAAATTATTTTCTTTAGAACATTGATCATTAATTATTTCTGAAGTTGGTATTATATCTCTCCCTTTAATAATCATTATTTGGGTAGGATGTCTCAGTCATTTAGTACGTGTTGGTGTAGATGATGTCTTCATTAATAAGAATATCAAATGAAAAGAAAGTACAAGTATTTTTAAAGTCATTTAAAACTTCTCACAACATCTAATAGGTTCTCCTATAGTAGCTCCTTGTTATTTTGTGAATGTGACATTCTCTTACCCTTTTGAAGATACTTATTTTCCATCCCATTTGTTTGACTTTATCATAAATATAATGAAATCTTGGTCAACCAGATTTCCACTAGTTAACATTGTTACTAAGCTGGCACTATTTTTGAGAGTTAGAAAAAGCAGAAATCTTGAAAAAAAAAAAACAACCAAGAAAACCCTCAGATTTACATTAAAATCACCTTCCTAAATCCTTAAGCAATGGTTCTTAACATTTTTAGAGTCAAAGAACCCTTTGGCTATCCTAGGAAAGCTATAAACTTTCTACTTAGAAAAATGCACATAGAAAAAGTAATTCTGTGTATAATTTCTGGGATCTTGTGGAACTCCAAAATCTTTTTAGGGACTTTATATTAAGAACTTCTGGTGGGTTTTTTTGTTTGTTTGTTTTTTGTTTTTTGTTGTTTTTAAGATTTTATTTATTTGAGAGAGAGAGAGAGAATGAGATCACAAGCAAGGGGAAGGGCAGAAGGAAAAGCAGACTCCCGCTGAGCAGGGAGCTCGATGCAGGGCTCGCTCAATCCCAGAACCCTGGGATCATGACCTGAGCCAAAGGCAGACACTTAACCAACTGAGCACCTGGGTGCCCCTTCTGTTTTTCACATCAAAGAAAAACTGTTTCTTGCTAAAAATTCTGTTCTTCAGTGGTCAGGCTGATTAAATAAGGAGCAGCACTCAGACCAGTTAAGTCTTCCTAAGACTAAAGAGGGAGAATGTGTTCCAGCATCTACTGACTGTCTAAAGAGGGGCTTGAATTCCTTTGTGAAGAACAAAAAACTGCCAGCCCATCCTACCCACACGATACCTAGATCCTTCCACGGAATTTGCAGGTTGCAATAAATAGATACAGCAACTACAGATGAGTAAAAGGGCATATTGTACAATGAGAGTTACAAAATATTTAAGGAAACCCACATTGTGGATGACTTAATACTCAAGGAAATAGAATTTGCAGAGCAAGCAGAATATAATTTAGAAATTACACATCATATATTTTAGAGGGATGAGAGGCCAGTTCATAAAGGATCAATTGGATATCTCTGTGTTCTAATTTCATTGATTGTATTTAAAATTTCCATATAGATGTACTAATAAGCAGAGTAGAGACAGCTGAAGATCAGATTAGCAATCTGAAAGATTGAGCTGTGTAGTTCTTCTGGAATACTGCATAGAGGGCACAAAGAATTGGGGTAGACCAAAATTTTAACATCTGTCTAATAGAAATTTCAGAAGGAGAGTGAAGGGAGTGAAGAGAGGAAATAACCAAATATATAATAGAAGAAAATTTCTTTGAGTTGAAGAAACTGACAGCTCCTCAGATTCAGGGGCCATTTAGTGCTGAGCAAGATGGCTAAAGAAAGACCCTCCACAGGTTACCTACCAAAATGGCATTACTGATTGGTAGAGGACAGCAGGTTGTTTTCTGTGCTCGAGTGAAAGAAAATCCATGAGCACCTGTTATGTGCCGGGTACTTTGCTGGGTACTTTGGTACACAAAATTAGATGTGGTCCCTTGTGTTGTGGAGCTTCAATCTAGTAAAGGAGAATGCATGAGTTAAAGAATTAATTATGTAAATAATTGTACAGCTACAACCTTAATTGGTGATCCAAAGGATGCCTTGATAATATATAAAAGGGGCATTTGCCTCGATTAAGGATTTTAAGGAAGTCTTAAAAATGGATTAGATGTGAGATCAGTGAACTATGTAGTTACTGGTGAAGGTGGGTGTATGAGTTGCTTAATTCTGCTGTAAAAATTACCACAAACCTGGTGACCTAAAACAGCATAAGTTTATTATCGTCTAGTTTTGGTGGCCAGAAGTCCTAAAATCAATGTGTTGACTAGGGTGTGTTCCTTCTGAAGCTTTAGGGGATAGTCCGCTTCTTTCCTTTTCCAGCTTCCAGAGGCTGGCTACATTCATCAGTGCCCCTTCTTCATCTGCAGATCTCTCTGTGACTCTCACCTCTTGCTTACATTGTCACATCTTCTCTCACAGACTCTCCTACCTTCTTCTCATAAGGACCCTTGTGAGTTCATTAGGCTCACCTGGTTATTCCATGATAACCTTCCAATCTCAAGATCCTTAGTCAAATCCACAATATCCCTTTGGGCATGTTAGATGATATACTAAAAAATTCCAGGAATTAGGTCATGGACATGGTAGGGACAACATTATTATGGCTACCACATGGGAGAAAAAAGTATTCCAGAAAATGAGAGGAGCATCACAAAAGCCCTGTGATGGAGGGGAGCATGGAATGTTCTAGAAAATGAGAGAAGGTCACTGTAGATGAAGTGTAGAGTGAGGGGAAGCATGGAATAAGATGAGACTAGAGATGTATTGGAGACAGACAATGCAGGACCTTGCAGACCATTTACTGGATTTGGGCTTTTATCCTAAGAGCAGAAAGAAGCCACAGGTTCTGTGAAAAATGCTATTGTTACTTTGATACATATTGCATTGAATCTGTAGGTTGCTTTGGGTAGTATGGACATTTTAACAATATGGATTCTTCCAAGCCATGAGCATGGAGTATCTTTCCATTTGTTTGTGTCATCTTCATTTTGGTTCATCAGTGTTCTTTAGTTTTTGGAGTATGGGTCTTTTACCTCCTTGGTTAAATTTATTCCTGAGTATTTTATTCTTTTTGGTGCAATTGTAAATGAGATTATTGTTTAATTTCTTTTTCTGCTATCTCATTATTAGTGAATAGAAATGCAACTGATACCTGCATATTTTGTATACTGTGATTTTACTGAATTCATTTATCAGTTCTAGCCGTTTTTGGTGGAGTCTTGAGGATTTTCTATATTTAGTATCATGTCATCTGCAAATAGTGAAAGTTTTACTTCTTCCTTACCAATCTGGATGGCTTTTATATCCTATTCTTGTCTGATTGCTGTGGCTAGGACTTTGATTCCTAGGTTGAATAACAGTGGTGAGAGTGGACATCCTTGTTCCTGATCTTAGAGGAATAGCTCTCAGTTTTTCACCATGGGGTGTGATGCTAGCTGTGAATTTTTCATATATGGTCTTTATTATATTGTGGTATGTTCCCCCTAAACCCACTTTGTTGAGAGTTTTTATCATGGCAGATACTGGATTTTGTCAAATGCTTTTTCTGCTTTTATTGAGATGATCATATGGTTTTTGTCTTTTCTCTTGTTAATATGATATATCATGTTGATTTATTTGTGAATATTGAGCCACCCTCTCATCCCTGGAATAAATCCCACTTGATTATGGTGAATGATTTTTATCGTATTGTTGGATTCAGTTTTCTGATATTTTGTTGAGGATTTTTGCATCTGTGTTCATGAAAGATACTGGCCTATAGTTTTCTTTTCATGTAGTGCCTTCCTCTGGTTTTGGTATCAGGGTAATACTGGACTCATAGAATGAATTTGGAAGCTTTCCTTCTGTTTTTTTTTTTTTTTTCCTTTTTCTTCTTTTTTTGGAATAATTTGAGAAGAATAGGTATTAACTCTTCTTTAAATGTTTGGTAGAATTTACCTACAAAGCCATCTGGTCCTGGACTTAAATTTTTTGGGAGTTTGTGTGTGTGTGTGTGTGTGTGTGTGTGTGTGTTTTATTACTGATTCAATTTCATTGCTAGTAATTGGTCTGTTCAAATTTTCTATTTATTTCCTGATTCAGTTTTGGAAGGCTATATGTTTCTAGGAATTTATCCATTTCTTCTACATTGTCCATTTTGTTGGCATATAATTTTTCATAAT